TTTGATCTTTATAAATTTGAAATATGCATTATTAAGATTGAACTTTAAAAAGTTATCTTTCTGATATTTGGAGGTTGTGTAAGCGAATAAAAGAGGTAGTTGCACCAATTTCAAGTAAACATCCAGTAATTCTCTTTTAAAGACATGTTTTTGAAATAATACCTGAAATAACATATATGAGTAGCAGTCAGAGAAAATCTGTTCTAAAAATAATTACATTGATCATTATTCGACTCATAACATAAAATACAACTGAGGAAAAAAATGAGTAAATTACTAAAACTAATAATGTAGCAGTAGAAATCAGATTCATCAGAGGCTAAATTCAATATCAATATATTTATTGTTAGCAAATCGACTTGCAGATTTTCTTAACTGTTACTTATATCTATATAATCTCTTTTAAATAACTTATTGATAAATGATACTGCTTGAATAGTTTATTTTAAAAAAACTTTGATTAATAAATAATTTCACAACATAGTTAACATACTATTTAATATAAATATTTAAATAACTAATAATTGACTATTATAATTACTGCCTAAAAGATTAAATGGATTTATTTTTAATGAAAATTCAAACCTGCTATAAATTCAGATTAAACTACCTACTTTAAAAATAAGTAAAGCTTTGCACTTATCTGCTTTAATTCTAATGCTAAATAATGATAGTAGCTAGCTTGATATATTAAGTTAGAATTATTATAAAATAAATATCTTTTTATCTAATTCTTATACCTGCAACAATTATAATACTTATTACATTAATATTAAGGAGTTTCAAATTAATATAGTAAAAAAATAGTGTATTAGAGAATAAAAGTTTAAATCGAATTTTAAATTAGAAGTTTCTTAACTTTTATTTCAAGTAGTTTAAACATCAATGATACTAGTAGTAAAATGATTATATATATATATTAGAAACTAATTAGAAAAAATACATACTATTTCAAACCAAAATTAGTAAAAAGACAAGTTAGGTTGCAATATAAAAAGTGTTTGCATATTGTTTTAGAAATATCAGATTTAGAAAATTTTATTTCAAAACAATACTTGCAAGTGGATATTATTTTGCGATTATACAGTAGTTATTGATAAATTGGCAAATGCAATATTAATAATCTATAAAGGAATTTGATAAGCTTTTGTATAAAATGATTAAAAATATCTTTTGTAAATAAATAGGTCTTGTCATATATCTACTTATAAAAATAAGAAAATTTAACGTTAACTATATTTGAGTATTAGTATAAGTAACAATAGAAGTTTATAACTATGAGACAATGGGAAATGATTTTGAATATCATAATGATTTCAATAATTTTAATCATAAAATTGCAGAAAGTTTAGGAACTTCATTTGAAAATTTTTCATTTGCAATTACTAAACCTAGCATTCAAACAACTTTTAATTTTTCTATACCTTCAGAAAGTAAAAATAAAGGTAATAAAATTAGTAATAAACCAGAGATTCTAAGATACTAATAATTTATCATTTTGCTTTATAAAGAACCAGAAAATAAAAGGATATACAAATGTAAAAAGCTATTATTTACTCAGGAGTATTTTGAAAAAATAGTAAATGATAAAGGCAAAAATATACAAGTTTGTAAAATTGTGAATGAAAATAGTCAAAAATGTGGCAAAGAATATAAGAATATAGGAAGTTCAACAGGAAACCTTATTATACACCTTCAGGATAGCTATAGAATTGTAGATAGTATAGAAATTTTTTTTTTTACGTTTAAGGCAGTTTATATTGCTAACAGGATTTTATTAGTATTTGCATATAGGATTATATATTGATAAGCCTTACTATTTGTAATTACATGAAGAGTGTACAACAAGCTACATATACAACTTTAGTTATTGTCTATTTTAAGTAGTCCACTGCACAGGTGATTAGACTACCCAATTGGTACTACACTATGCTGCTATATCTGTAACTCACCTGTAAGTTACCTATTTAAATACTCTG